AGCAGTAGTAGGAGAAGTAGTAGTAGCAGTAGAGGTAGTGGTAGTAGTAGTAGTAGTAGTAGTAGAAATAGCAGTAGTAAGTAGTAGTAGTCGTCGTCGTAGTAGTAGTAGTGGACGTAGTAGCAAGCAGCAGTAGTAGCAGCAGCAGCAGCAGTGGCAGTAGCAGTAGTAGCAGCAGTAGCAACAGTACCGAATCCTTTTGGTGGCTTCAACGGCATTTGCTGGGATGCAGCTGCGCACTCCCAAGGTGCCGCAAAAACGTGCGAAACGACAGTCAACAGCCAACACTACAGTCAACAGTGCCAAAACACTGACAAACCGGCAGATTCCACAATTCACTGTTTTTAAAAACAAATATGAGTCTTTAAGTCTTTTTAGCTTCTTAATGTCCCGAGGAGCACATGCAACAATTTTCCGGCATTTTTGGCAGCGTTGACTGTAGTGTTGGGTGTAGTGTCGACTGAGTGTTGATTGTTAGTTCGCTTCTACTCTCAGACCAGATTCAGCATTTGGGCAATGATGACCGTCTTTCTGACTGTAGACGTAGTGAGTTGCTGTGTTGGTACGCACTGTCAGCTTCCAGTCTCTGGACTATGACATTGGATGACACTGGCAAGAGTGCAAAAGATGCAAAAGCACTTCTGCCCGTCGGTTGGGGTAGGGGCCGGGTAGGGGCCGGGTAGGGGTCAGAGCAGGAGCAGGAGTAGTAGTGGGAGCAGGAGTAATTTGCAGGAGCAGGAGCAGCAGTAGGAGGAGGACTAGAAGGAGCACGGGCAGTAGCAGCAGCAGCAGTACCGCACTGTGTAGATGCATGCATAGCGCCCTTACTGTTGCTATTGCCCTTCTTCTTGCTAACGCTTCATGGCTTGCAAGCACTGATGTTGGCATTGTAGCTGTGACGGGACTCTGGCTTTGGTTTCTGCCGGCTGATCCACTGATCTTCGGCCTATCGGCTGCGTCCAGCACCAAGAAGCTTCAGGGAGCAAATGCATGCGGCACAGCCTTCGCCACCAGTCTACTGCATGCACACAAACGGCCTCTTTCTGCCGCCCCTGCATGCGGCCCTTCGACTTTTCCCTGGTTTCCTCTTGAACACAGGACTTCACGCCTTCACAATTGACGACTGGCTGTCGACGCTTGCCAAGCACATCATTCGGAGTGCTGTGTTCAGGCAGTACACATTGTATAGACGACTTAGTGGTGGAGCGGAGCCGTCCTTTCGCCCGGAGCTTACCTGGCGGCTCACGAACAACACTTCGTTACCCGTGGAATGTCACGGAAAACTGCGACAAGATCAAAAAGATGCCACCCCGCCTTCAGCTTGGCTGCAGCCTTCACAACTCCGAGCTTGGCGTCCAGAGTCTCTTTTGTGGCCTGAAGCCGGAGCGTGTAGGAGGCTTCGGCGTTGTGCGGCTTCCCCCGATCCGAGCTTCTTTTGGCCTGGGGCCTTGCAGGGCCTTGCACTTGCACTGTTCGGAGGTTTCTGTCCGAGACTCGGAGCTGCTACAAAAAGGTGTGAATCAGTCTGTATCAGTGTAATCGTGCGCCATCTGGCCACATACGAGCGACTTGAGCTGCGCTTGAGCAGTAGTCGCCTTGCTGCTGGCATGAACTTTGACTGGCTATGAACAGCCAAAAATCGCCTGCTCCATGCTGGCTGCCGCTGGCCGGCCCGCGAGTTGGAAGTCTCCCGGAACCAGCGTCGAGTCCTGGCAGATTTCTGAGCAGAGCTTCAGCACCACTGTTCAAGATGGGAGGTCACAAGCCCAAAGGCCGAAGAGAGTTGCAGCTCAGAAAAGACATCCACCTCAGCACCTTCCATCGGCAGCCACAAGCACTCATACAAACAGCCACCCCAGGAAAATACACTCAGACCATGCATGTACCGATGGAGGAGGCAGGAACTCGCAAGACCACAGAGCCGAGCTTTCCAAAGCGAATCGGCGATCTCGGTTAAGGCGAGACAGACGGATGAGACTCGCTGAACGTTTTGTGTCCAACACTTTGAAACCGCATTCTTTACAGTCTTTCTAGCAGGCTCGTCCAACGGCGAACACGGCGACCCTTGCCAGCACGGACCTCCCGAGGACATGATCCGACTACGCATTTGCACACCCGAAGCCGCTTCCACGAGCTGCATTCGCGTTCGTCCGATGTCAACCAACCCGAGCTCCAGACCCATCTCGGCCTTTTAGCCCGAACCATCCGGAACCCATCTCGAGAAACACCGGCACCGAATGGAGCGAAACCAGTCTATACAGAAGAACTGGCGACGGATAAACTCAGTCCATCAGAAGCCTTGAGCTTGGCATCTCTACCCTTATTACGGCCTCAGACATAGACCAGCAACGCAGAAGCTCAACATTCAACACCATCGCATAGTCACATCCAGCCGGTCCTTTTCGTCTGTCACTTCAGCTGGAGGGGCCAAAGAGGGAGACGGTTGCACTTCCGCGCTTGCAACTTCTCGAGAGACTGGCTCCGCCGTCTGCACAAAGGTCACCGGCTCCAGTCGCATCCCAGGTGGTACCTCGGGGATCGGCGGTCGCACCACCTGCGCCGGCACTGGCGCTCCGGGTGCTGTTGGCGTGGCGGGCTCTGCGCCATACGCTGAGAAGGACGGCAAACCTGCCGGGGCCGGAGCAGCTGGCGTCGGCGCTGGCGCCGACAGGGGCACAGCCGGCGCGGGCACGGGTGCTGGTGTAGGCGTAGTGGGGGCGCAGGGCTGACAGGGCTGGCTCGGTTGTCGAGCCGGCCGTGCTCTCGGCTCAGACTCCTGGTCTACCCACGTCATGACCTTCTTGAATTCTTCGCTTTCCCGCGGCTCTGCCAGAACCCGCCGGCCGAAGGGCCGGAACGAGCGGTCCGATGCAGGCTCCACCTGGTGCCTGATGAGTTCGCCCACCTGAGAGCCGCCGAAAGTGGCCGCCCAGGCGCCCGGCAGCTGGCGCACATACCTCTGGTCGAACGTCTGAAAGCTCACAGCTCAGGAGTGCCAAGTTAACCGAATTCCCGGCATGCATCCAAGCAATTACAGTATGTGATTTATGTGGCGCGAACACGCAGCCAACGAAAGCGGAGTCCCAGGTGCCAGCGATTCTCTGTCTCGTGGCGGATGGCCTGAGTGCAGAGAATCCAGGAAGCCGGATCAGCTCTCTCTGCTGCTAGGGTTCGCAGATCCCCCCCTATAGGACAGAGATACCCTGCAGCATTGGGTATGCTGTCGATTGGACTTCAGAAGTTCCGTAGTTTTTGATGCACGCAGTGAAACCAATACAGAAAGAGCCGCGGGGCCTCCTTCCACCAAGCATCCGCGGGAGCGCCTTCCACCTGGACCGGAGGGTACCTCGAGGCAGCTTAAAGATTGGAGCTCTCTTTGCTTCTTCTGGTGAGCTCTCTGTTTGGAGCTCCAAACGGCGCAGGCCCTTTCTTTAATGAAGGTGCGAGAGGCCGGGGGTTCATTGTGCAGTTGTGAAGCTCTGACAAGCTCTGCGAACATGGCCTACCGGCAAAAGCTACATCTCGCAGTGCAGGCACCAGCCACAGGAGCAGCTGCATGTACAGGGGTATGCCATGGCGACGGATGAAGTAAGGACAATTTGTCGAATATGCCGTTGTGGTTGGGAGTCTAAGTCGTTTCGGGTGTATTCGGGCTGAAGGCGTGTCCTGGAAGGCAGAACTCTCGTGCTGCTGTGTCGAGATTCATGGTCACCAGCCATTGCATTGCCAGGTGTCTTGTTGTTGCTTGAAGCTCATGCAGCCACAACGAAATCTAGAATCGATGCATCCGGTGGCATCACTCTGGACAGAGACGCCCCCTGCAAAGTTAAACAAAAGGCAGTGCCCTCCAGCCGGGGGGAGAAGCTCCTAAACCCTAAACCCCTAACCCCTAAACCCTTCCATATGCGACCTCTGCTCTCCCGAGCTCTTGGGAACCTGCTCTGAAGCTTCGAGGCCACGGCAGTCGAGGGCCAGGCTTTGAAGATTCCCATGGGTAGGTCTCTAAATTAGGGTCCCGTTTTGGGGGTGTCCTTTTTTTGGAAGGGTGCCGTAATATATTGGGGACCCCAAAAAGAGACCCTAATTTAGAGAACTCCCCCCCATGCAGAAACGCTTTCTAGAGGCCGCGAGGCTGGCAAAAGCGAGCGTAAATCGCTAAAAGTGCGGTCCGAGGACTTCGTCTACGATACAGGACGAGTAGCAACATGGTCACATGGTCACGAGGAACACTCTCAGTGAAAGTAGAACCATTCTTGGTAGCACTACAAGCAAAATCTGCCGAGCAAGAAATCCTCACGGCACAAGACATGAGCAGCGAGAACATGAAATGATGATTGGGCAGAGCTAAAGCCGATCACGCGTACGGGCCTTCGATTTGAAGACAGCCGACAGAGGTAACTTCCACACGCTCTGAATAGGCTTCAGCCGGCATTCACCGCAACAGAATACCGGAAATCAACCACATGTACACCTCTCCAACCGCTCTGTGTCCGTAGAATGCAAAAGCTCTCGAAGGCCCCCAGCCTCAGAAGCAAACAGTCCACTCAGGAAGAACGGTCCCCTGGTTATGCTACAAATCCAGCCCACAGCGGTGGATCCTGGACGGAGGCGAGAACAGACATAGCAGGAAGGCCAACGTCCACCTGGGGCTCTTGCGAAGGAATGAACAGGTGTGCCAAAGTGCAACACTTGCTCGTCATAGCTCGAGGGTAGCAGGGTCATGCGGGATCGTGGCTTCTGAAGGGGGCATGTATGGTCAAATATCTCCAAACCGCCAATCGCCAGTGCATCCCTGCATCTGCGCCGAACCTCCTCCAAATCCTCGCCGCTAGGGGTGTAGGAGACCGCAAGCCTCGGGACAGGGCCGCGAGATGCCATGGATGGTTTGTTAGCTCCTTCCATATGAAAAGCACTCATAGGGGAGCATTTCTGGGGCGGTCCATGTCTGCCACTCAGTTTACATTTATCGACCTCCTGCGGGCAAGAGACGACCCGGTTTTCGAAAGGGACTCGAACTCCTCCTTGCTCAGGAGGCGCTGCTCGGCGGTGCCTGCCCCAAAGAGCAATTCCAAAAGCAACAACATAAGTGAAGCTCTGGGAAGTGCCATGCATGTCCACACCATGTCTCTAGAGCTTTTGTGGCAGTGAACCGGGCAAGGCAGGCGGACTTTGAAGAGCCCTCGGCCGGTGATATGGCTTCCCTCGACTCTCGACCTCTTCCTTCGAATGGCACACACTAGATAGTTCAGGCCACTGCGCCAGCCAGTATCATGCAACGTTGCATGTGGAAGGGAAAGCCGCATAACTTGCCTGTGGAAGCACATCGTCCGGTGGACACCTGAGGCTTGCGAAAGTTCAGCAAGTTGCTTGATCTGCCGGCAAAAAGGGCTGCCTCCCGCCTCTCACATCTCCGACCCTTGGCCTTTGGCTTCCGAAGGCAACATTAACATGCGTTGACCGATGTGACCATGAGTATATATCAAGTGGTATACGAAACGCGAAGCATGGGCATTCCTGATTTCGCACGAAGCAAAGCTTCGCATCTGTCTTCTGTTGAGGCAGACTCTACTATCTGTGCCGACCTACGAGGTTAAAATAAGCTAATGGGTTCCCTTCTGACGGTGCTCGTCACATCAACTCATGAGCTTGCTCAATCGAGGTCGCGAAAGGAACCCCAAGAAAGGGAAACAACTTCCCCGCTGGCTCACTTAAAGACTTTTCCTTCCACCACGTTCACGACGCACTCGCCTTCTCGCAAGTCCTCCGCAAGCCAAGCAGCACACAAGCCAGGTCTAGATTAAAACCTCACATCGGCTTCATAGGCCCCACGCACGACCCCTTGCGGTCCTTCTGCCGGCCCGACAGCAGCCGGGTCTCCAACTTGCCGGGCCTTCGGCCAGTGATTCGAACCTGTAGTCGTATATAGCAGCAATAGCGGTAGCAGCAGCAGTAGCAGCACTAGTACTAGTGGCAGTAGAACTGGTGGTGGTGGTGGTCGTCGTCGTAGCCGCAGCCTTTGTAGAAGAAGTAGTCGTCGTCGCAGCAGTAGTAGCAGTAGTACTACTAGCACTAGCACTGGCACTGGCACCAGTAGTACTAGTACCAGGAGTACTAGTAGCAGTAGGACCAGTAATACCAGCAGCACTAGCACCAGTAGTACTAGTAGCACTAGCAGTACTGGCAGTACCAGTAGTACTGCTTGTTTTTTGTAGTCCTAGTAGCACTGGTAGCACTCGTATACAGTGTGCCGAGAGACTGGAACCGTCACGCCCTTTCAAAATGACGGCCATTTTGGTCCGGCGGGGGTTGGGCAAAATGACGCGTCATTTTGGTCATTTTGGGGGGACAAGATTGCGCGTCATCTTGGTCAGCAGGTGGTGCAAGTGGTCCAAAAGATGATTACCAAAATTACTAAGATGACCACCACCCCTCCTTCCCACTTCAAACAACAAACATACAAGACAAGCAAGATTCCACGCGCGCACCAGGCGCCCACCTAAACTCTATCCTGAAACCTAATCCCCAAACCCAGACACCTGAACCCCTATACCTTATAAACTCTCAGCCGATGTACACGCCGGCGCCGGGCGTGCCTAATCCTAATCCCTAAACCCTCAACCCTTCAACCCTAAACCCCTTAGCCAAACCGATGCGCGCGCCGGGGGTGCCCCTAATGCGTATACCCAAACCCTAATCCCTACAGCCAAACCCCTCAACCCCTAAACCCTGTCATCCCTGATCATCAGCGCACGCGCGCTCGTAACCCTAAACCAAAACCCTAAAACCCTGAGCCCTGAAACTTAAAAAACTTAAAACCCAAAGCCCTACTCTAAACCCTAAACCGATGCGCGCGTCGGGCGCGCCCCTTAACCCTAGTACCCTAAAGCGTCGCGCGCGCGCGCGCGCCCCTAAACCCTAATGCAGTTGTGCAAGTGGTCCAAGATGACCCCCCCCCTCAAAAAAAAACCTAGGAAAACAAAATCACCAAAATGACCAAGATTACCTAGATGACGCGTCATCTTGCCCCACCCCTGCGCGGGCAAGATAACCAAAATTACGGTCATGTTGCCCTCCTGGCACAATGTACTAGTACAATGAGCCGGGAATTTAGAACAAATATTTGAGCAAGGTCTTGCAATCTTGGTCTTGACCTTTTAGACTAAGATTGCAAGGGGGGGCAAGATTGCCAGCAATCTCGAAATTAAGTGGGGCAAGCGACCA